GCTTATTCCTATGAATACCTCTCCCTTATGGGATTCATGTGGTACCATCTAACAAAGTGAGCTTTCTCTTGGAATGTGAAACCTAATTTAGAGAACCTAAGAGAGTAGTAACAGTGCAGCTATAACAATTTGATAGGACTTTAACTGTGCCATGGCTCTACCCTGCAGAATTCTAGGACTTGTAATTTGGTGACGTCCTTATAATGCTCCCTTAGGGAGCTCTAGTGCTGGAATGTAGCAGAGGTCTCTGGTGATGTAATTAGAATTCTCCCATAAACTACAGAAGTAAAGTTTCCATTGGATGGAACTATAATATTTAGGATGGTATCAAACTGCTGTCACTAGGTAGTAGATAGTGGGTCATGAGCATGAGAAGATCCAGGTTCAAATTCCCACTCAGCTGTGTAAACTCTTTGGAGCAGGGATGGCAGTGAGAATGGTAGATCAAACCTTGACTATCTCATGTATTAGAAAAACAAGTTACAGTTCTATTGGATAGAACAGTAATATTTAAAATGGTATCAAACTGCTACAAGTGGGTAGTGGGCCATAGGAATTAGAAGACCTAGATTAAAATCTCTACTCCAGCATGAAAGCTCATTGAAGGCATGGTGCCAGTGGCAATGGCAGACTGCTCCTTGAATAGCTCACATACTTCAGAACCTATAAGAACCAACAAAATTTGGAAGAAACTTAATGGCATATTACAGGTCATTGCAGAAGGTTAACTGTTAAATGCATAGGAGCAACACTGCTGTTATGTGGAAGTTCCTCTACATGTGTGAAATTTTCACAAATAAGCCTATTAATAGGGCTATGGTTGGCAAGACTAAAACAATTACTCTAAACAGCACCTACATGTTTGTAGGGAAGAACACAATCTAATAGTTTGATTTAGGTTACTTTATAAAACAGCAAATTTCTTGAACCATTTTCAGGACACAATACATTTTTAAAAAATGCTAGAAAACTTGCTTTGCACTGCACAAGGTGTAAGATAGGCTTGACCATTAGAGAGTTACAACATTTAGACGCAGCGACAGGGAAAGCCTTTGTCCACAAATGAACCAATGCAACTCAAGACACTGGCGGAATAAGGACAGCCCCTGTGGAATAGGCTATAGGAGCACGCTCCAAATATTTATTTGCAACACACAGCGTGATATTCCCTTAACTGCAATGGTCCTATCCACTTTTAACACATAATTCTAATTACCTCAAATTGGATGGTGTGATCTAAGGACAATGAAGATGGAATTTGCATTTAAACCATGCAGTCCTGTACATTACTTGCCCAGATAGACTAGAAATCACACAGTGTGATGAGTAGTGTGTCAACAGAAGAGCTACAATGACTATCACATTAATATAAGATTTAAATGCAGGGGAAGTTATATCCTGCCACCAGATGATAGCACCAAGTGTGGAGTCTGTTGATTCTGGCCAGTATCTGCCATGTTTCTTTTTTACATCTTTCTGTCTTTTGGGAGACTTGGTAAAGGAGGTAGAATCAAACAACTGATAAATTTAGCATTTGCAAAAACTTGAAATCATTGTTGCCTCATGTTTCTCGAGCACACAAAAGAGGACAGCAAGGAGAGAAGATGCACCCTTCAGTGAATTCTTATTTTCCAAAATTCTTATGAAGCAAGACTTAAGGTCTTGGAGGTAACAGAGGATGTAAAAAATGGAAATAAAATCTATATTACAATTGGAAGATTACATTTTGAGATTTTGCCTCATTTTCTAGCAGGTCTCCTGCTCATGAATGATATAAAATGCCTGTTTATTATTAGAGCAAAGTGATAGCTTGTTTGCCTTAATGATAATACATTAATCCTGTAAAAAGAATAATAAAGAGATTTAGAAATATGCCTTTTGTGTGCTTTTTTGCCTTTTGCAATGTGCAACATTTAAAAGCTTTTAACTTCCATTGATTTCAATGTGGGTGTATTGAAGTCCAAGTAGAAGGTACGGCTTCCAATATCTGGTATAGTAATATTACTGTGTGACTCCTGCACAACCCATACTACTTCAAAAACCTCTTTGAAATAGGTACAGGAGTGCTGTCTTTTTAAATTTAGAGACAATGCTCATGGTTAGGACTGCTCATTCTTTATCAAGAATTCTTTATCGTGTACAGTAGTTGTGGTTGGCCATCACACAGATGGCTTGTGGGAGAGGAGTTGTCAATGAGACAGAAATACAAAAAAGGAAAAGCTGCGCAATCCATCACAATTCCAATTGGAATTTCCAATGTAAAAGCACAGGCTTTCCATTATGCTTTCTAGCATAAATTATACAGTACATCACTTCTACATTCATACAGGTGTTTTAATATCTAGACAATTTAAAACTCTAAATTTACCCCAGGGACAAAAATAAGAGCTTCCTATACAAGGTGGCACAGCAACAATGAAGGAGTACTGGATATTTCTAAGTACTGTGGTGGTGTTTTTTATATGTATGTGAGAAACAAGTGTATCTGCAGTGTAGTGTCTGCATGAAAACCTTTCTGCAGTTGTAAGATTGAATCCACGCGATTGAGTGAACCCCTGTCGCTTCTCCCAGCACCTGCCAACCTAGCGGTTCGAAAGCATGCAAAATGCAAAAATGCGAGTAGATAGGAACCACCTCGGTGGGAAGGTAAACTGCGTTCCGTGTCTACTCACGCTGGCCATGTGACCACGGAAGATTGTCTGCAGACAAATGCTAGCTCTATGGGTTGGAAACGGAGATGAGCACCGCCGCCTAGAGTTGGACACGACTGGACAAATTGTCAAGGGGAACCTTTACCTTTACCTAACAAAAAGTATTCTAGGTGGTATCCTTAAGGGTAGTGAATTAATTCAAGTGTCAGCTTTTGTGGATTATTGTACACTCTACCTTCTCAGACAAATGGAGTACAATGGGTATATACAGACAAGAGTACATGGTTCTGGAGGTGGGAACAAGTAAGATGAGAAACGTGCACATATTGTTTCCAGTGAACTGACAATAGCACCATTAACACATGTTGAAATTGAGGCAACAGGCAAAATAATTATCTAGTGTAAAGTACCAGCAATTGCATAATGGTTAGGCTTTTTTTAAGTGTTGATGCAATGACTTCTTTCAAAGAAGAATTGGTCATGCTGAGGCCCGAGTTTTGCAAAAGCAAACAGCTCTTATGATATAAACTACCTTAAATATTTCCAACAGGAAAAGTAGAGTACAAATGTAATTCATAATAACTTTGGTGAGGTTATTATGCTAAACAGTCTATGTTTAAGCTTCTAGGTGTACACTGGAGTTTATGGGTCTAACCTCAATCTCACATCTCACTTTGCAGTTCCTTTGAGATCAGTGACAGAGTTTATAGGGAGTCTGAAATATTCTGATAAAAACTTGGATGTCATTTCTGATGCCATATTTGTGTCTTTTTATTCTCTGGCATAGATACAGTCCCATCTGCCCTATGCAGAAGTGACAGCAAATGTCCTACATAGTTTATGTTAGAGGAGCCCCTGATGTTCCAGGCAACAGCTTGGACCTTTAACTATATACAGTAGCCAGCATCTATGTGGAAACATCATTGGCTTTTAGGGGCAACAGCTTGGACCTTTAACTATATAGCCATCATCTATGTGGAAACATCATTGGCTTTTAGTTTTGTAGTATGATCTTGTTCCTGCCTTTGTATCTCTGCTGTGTGCCATGTTGAGTGTTGGTAGGTGTTTAAGGATGGGAGATTATCTGTAAACAAGCCACCCAATGCCCAGGAAAAGACAGCATTGTTCAGAATAGGCTCATATCATATGTCCACCTACACAAGAACTGATAATCTGTCCCAGGTATGTAATATCAACATCTGGACAAATTTACTACACCATCCATGAAGGGATGCTTAGAGACTGAGGAAGTGGATTTCACCCACAAAACACTAATTATTTTTTAGTGGCCCAATTAAAAGTGTCACCTGTTCTTGCACTCAATTTGCGTAACACTTATTTTGACATAGAAAGCTGAAAAATAAAGCAATGTCTCTCTGGACACCTACAGAATTGCAGCCAATGACAGTGAAGGATCAGGCTACGAATCAAAATCTCTTGTCTACCTTTAAAATAAGTATCCAAATACCTTTGATGGGTGCTTTACATTTCATGACCTGTTGACTCGCTTTACACACACTTTTCTTCTCCACCTGCTTGGCAGCTGAAGATGAAAGAGGGAAGCAGTATTTGCTAGTAATGACCTGATACGTACTTGGGAAATTCACTTCCTGCACCCTTTTAGGCCTTCCAAGGCGAGGGGAACTTTGGACTTAATCGTCGGCCTGACTTACCACACAGAGTTGTTGTGAGGATAAAGAGAGGATTAAGAGATCCCTCAAGGCCCGTTTTTGGCTCACAGGAGCGGGGAAAAAAACCAACCTAGGATATAATTATTCGTAACCAATAAATAACAATGACGACACTTCCTGCAGCTGATAAAGTGTGATTTTTTTTAAACCCATGAAAAATGTGCACGACTTCAAGAGAACACAAGTACTGTATCTTAAGTGTGCAAGTTTTCTTATCCTAACAGTTTTTGCACGTCCGACACTCCACTAAGGACCTTTTGTAAAAAATTACCACAGACCTCAATGGAACAATTAATGTAAAGATAGGGACAAGCTATGCAAATAAGCAAGGCGGGCCATCGTACAGCTTGAATAGAGCAGCTCTCCTATGGTGTGTTTTTCTGCCACGCCTACAGCGAAACGCAAATTAAAACCGGAAGTGATAGTGTGCGAAATGTTTCATTTTCTATCTCTATGGTCTTTGCCCCGACTCTTCCCTCCCCTTCCTCAAGGTTTTTTTTCCTCCTCTAACGCTTAGTTCTTTGAAATAAAAGGGAGCGGTGCTAGCCCGTCTATCTCTAAAGATCATCTCTATGACTCTGGAAGCCGCGGTCATAGATGCGGTCGCCGAGGAAGGGTGCGGGCGGAAGTGGTTACAGTCTGAAGGCGGAAGTTGCGGAAGAGGAGATTCCGCTTCCGTTTTGAGGGGAGTCCTCCCGGCGCTACCGCCGCAGCTGCCCCGCGCGTCGAGAGGGGCCCGGAGCCTCCGGGAAGGCCATAGAAAAGGCGGGGTAGAGCGGCTCGGTCTTTCCTTAGATTTATCTGCATTGCCAGGGAGACGGGAGAGGCCGGGGTGGAGTCCTCTTCAAGACGGGACCAGGCCGAGGTTTTGCTGAGGAGCGAAGCCTCCATCGACTCGGTTTCCCGCTTCCCCTCCCTATTCCCTCTGCCTGACCAGGAATCCACTGTGATTTCAAACTCTAGGGGAATCTTTGCTCCCGAAAAGCTTTCTCAATTCCCACCCCCTTCTCTCAACCCGGGAGTGATCTCTGACTTTCCTGTCTCTGTGACCTTTGAACCCAGCCCCTAACCCTTTCAGCTTTGGTTGAAGGGTGGCTGCTCCTCACTGTCGTTACTGTCATTCTTAAATCTCTTTTCCTCCCCTCAAGAAGGATCACCGTTTTCCTTCCAGCAAGCCTCCCTTCCTTATTCTATCATTTTAGACCCTCCTTCCTGACCTGTTGACCTCCCTTGAGAGACTATTTGGAACCCAGTGGTCTTCCTTACCCACCCAGTTTGTCAAGATTCTCCCATTTTTAAAAGGAGATTATTGGCTATGCCCCCTGGCTGGGGGAAGTGGGGAGGCTGAAACACCGATCCTGGACCCCGGGGGCTCTGGTGGTGCCACTGCTGCTGAGCTGTCGGCCCACCCGAAGCCTTAACCATCTGGGGCCTACTAGAAGAGAGGAAGCGGAGGGATCTATAAGAGAAGGCATCCTGCTGCTAGGTAAGTGGTTGTTATCAGTAGATTAATTTTGGTGGGAGAGCTGGAAGCCACTAAAGAGAATCATAAGGTGTGTGTGTGTGGGGGGGGGGATGCAGTCCAATACTTCTTTCTCTTTCTTCGTTGTTGAACTTTGCTGTTGCCTTTTCATTAGCTGAGTCAGTTTCCCCACGATCAGCTAACAGGCCAGGCGTGCCCTGCACAAGTGGGCGGGAGAGGGAACACTCCCTGATTTCTATGGAGAGAAGTTGACATTAAGCATGTGAAGCAAGTTGTACTTGATGCCAGATTGCTGGTGGAAACAGGATTCACGAATTTTACATTATGGCAAAAGCTTTGGTACCTGATTATATTCAGCGGACTGTGTCTTCAGCATTGACACAGAGCACAAATTAATAATGGGCCAATGGGTTTGTGTGTTAATAAATTCACAACATTATTAAAGAGTATGAAGACCAAATAGGAAGAGTTTTTCCTTGCAAATATCAATGTCGGAAATGGATGGGTTGACGACAACACAGTTATTCCAGTTATTAATTCATTTTACAGGGTTTGTTGATAGTTGTTAGTTGTAACTAATTTTGAATGGCTGTAAAGTTGTTAGTTGTAACTAATATTGAATGGCTGAAATGTATCTTCCTGAAAAGAAAAGTCTTTGACTGCTTGTAGACCGACAGCAAAGATGGGGCCAGCCTAGCCTCTCGTGGGAAGCAGTTCTGAAGTCTGGGAGCACTCATAGAGAAAGTGTTCTCCCATGTACCCACCAAACACACCTGTCAAGGTGGTGGGAAGGAGGGAAAAGCCTCTCCTGATGATCCTAACAGTTCAACAGGTTCATAAAAGGAGATGCCCTCCTTGAGATCACTTGGGTCCAAGCCCTTTAGTGCTTTTTACGTTAGACCCAATACCTTGAATTCAGCCTGAAAGCGGATTGGTAACCAGTAGAGCTGCTGTAACATTACTGTAGCATTGTAGCACTACTTCCTCTGGTTCTTATGTATTACATGCATAAAGGTATCACCTATTTTTGCATTTGGATTTTATTTTGTTATGACTGACCACATGGCTACTCTTTACATGCATGTTGCATATTAGACCAGTGTTTCCCAACCTGTTGAATCGGAAAGTGTTTTCTGGAGCATTGTGGGTTGCCTTATATGTGTTATAAAGGTAAAGGCTTCCCTCGACATTTAGTCCAGTCGTGTCCGACTCTAGGGCGCGGTACTCATCCCCGTTTGCAAGCCAGCGTTCGTCCGAAAACAGTTTCCGTGCGTTCGTCCCAAAACAGTTTCCGTGGTCACGTGGCCAGCGCAACTAGACATGGAATGCCATTACCTTCCCACCGTGGTGGTACCTATTTATCTACTCACATTTACATGCTTTCGAACTGCTAGGTTGGCAGGAGCTGGGACAAGCCATGGGAGCTCACTTTGTCGCATAGGTTCGATCTTACTACAGCTGGTCTTCTGACCTTGCAGCACAGAGGCTTCTGTGGTTTAACCCGCAGCGCCACCACGTCCCTATGTGTTATAGCCCTTGTTAAATAATTTCTTCCTTCACCTTTCAGAATGGGATATTAAAGTTAATGTGTATGTGTGAGAAACAGACCCTGTGAGGGAGATAGAAGCCTCTACTTTTGGAGATGAGATGACTGTACCCCATTAAAAATTCCTTTTAATGCAAATATTATTGTGGGGTTGCAGGTTATTTGGGTATTATAAAAGGGAGTCGCAACTTGAAAAAGGCTGGGAAACACTTTATTTACCTCATTAAAAATTCCTTTTATTCCAAATATTGTGGGGTTGCAGGTTATCTGGGTATTATAAAAGGGAGTCACAACTTGAAAAAGGCTGGGAAACACTTTATGAGACTGATTCACAGTGATAAAAACTTTCAGTGCCCCTTAGGTAATGCAGCTTTTTGTGAAGAGACCTCTGTGCTTGAAGGTGGTATACCTGATAACTGGATGTTATTGAAAATCAGCAAGAGATAAGTATCTTCATAGTGTCCACTCGTGAGGTGCCCAGAAGATACTTGGTTAGCTGCAGTTGAAGACCCTGGATGTTTGGTTTGACCCAGCAAAAGAAACCTTATACCAGTGGCTTAGGTCTCTGGCTGGGGAGTCAAATGTTGGAAGTTCGACTGTGCATCATTGGCAAGGGCGAGATTCGATTATCTATGGGGTCCCTTCTAGCATCAGTTCTAAGATGATGATGATGTTGGGGGAAGATGTCAGACCTGTATAAAGTTGCTCCTTGCTAGATTTTCCTCATTTACTCTGCAGTCCTAACATGTTTCTCCACAGGTGTGACCCCTGATCTGTTTTGACTCTTTTGCTTTCTCCCTTTGTCTCTGTGTTAGAAGACAGCAGAGATTTGTGACTCTCAAAGCTGTTTTAGGTCCACCGTCCTTCTTTGCTGCTTAAATTCATTCCTACTCTTCTGGTGTTTTAGTTATCATGGAGGGGAGAAGTTGAAATTGGAGATAAGATGTGCCTGCTACCTTCACCATATTTCCAGGGTTCGTGTCTGCTTGGAAATAACTCCAGTAGAAATTTTCCCTATAGAAAATGATATTTAGAAATCTTCCTTGTTTTCAGTTATTATAGCATCTACTTATTTTAGACATATTTATACCACTTTGCATGTTTTTTTAAAATCCCAAATCAATTCACAGTATTACATTGTTATTACAAGATAAAGTAGCATCAGGTGATAAAACCTGATTGTGTCCTTTTTTTAAAAAAAAGTCATTCTTTACATTGCAGGGAAAATCTGTTAGTGTGGCCACCTGAGTGATTTTGTATGTTGTATTTTTGTGCTAAATTGTGTCTGAATTTCAGTGAATAAATATTTATATTCTCTTTACGCAAATAAAGAATGTCATGAAAATGGCTTTTCCCAGTAATTAACTATCATCAACACTTCCTTTGAGAAGGTCCTGGGTCCTTAACTGTTTCTAACCTGACCAAGATTGATGGAGTGTGCAAAATGCAAGTATATTGGACTGGTGCTTGTTTCTGGGGTAAGAGTTGGATTGTGGTGAGGCAGGAAAGTTGGGTAATACAGGAGAAGGGGAAGTGAAACACAATGATGCTACTGTAGATGTAGAAAGATGCTGCTGCGGGGAATATAATACTGTATAAGAGCTATGTAACATGAAAAAAATCACACCATTATAACTTACTGAAGACAACATCATATAAATAAATTAATTTATCTAATTCTGCAGCACATAAATAATTTTTTTACTGTATTAGGTTAATTAATATTGTCTAGAGTATTACATCAATATGTCAAAATTAGGACAGGTGGATATGGTGTAATTACTGTATAAGGGTGTAATTGTAATTATTTTTATGTAGAGATGGACATGAAGTGGTTTGCTGGTTTGGCCACAGCTTTTTTTATGGGCACCCTGGCTTTCTAGCTCTGCCTCCTTCTATGGGTGCTCACTCAGAGGCAACAGTGTGGCTCTTCAGCCCTGCCTCCTCTGGGCACTGTTTCTGAGTGGGTGTGTGCTGGAGGAGGCAGAGCTAGGAAGCTAAGGCACTCATGGAAGAAGCTGTGTGGCCGAACCATTGAACACCACCAAGCTGTGGAACAGCGCTTCAGGTCCATCTCTATTTTCATGTTATATAGCCCTTGAAGAAGACTGATAGGTCGAAATACATCAGGCATTTTATACCAGAATAGAGAGCATTACATTTTCTACATCCTGGGACTGCAGTTTTCCCTTTCTTTTTTTGACTTAATATTACATTATCCCCCAGTGTTGGCTCTGCTGGATACGGAAGAGCATGAGTTTTAATCCAACATCTCTGTAGGGCACTGGGTTGGGAAGGTTACCTTAATGAGTACTTGGAGCATATGATTATCTGCATGAAGTCTAATGGATATTAGTGAAGTCACAAGTCTAATAGTGTTGGGAAGGTTACCTTAATGAGCACTTGGAGCATATGATTATCTAGTCTGCATGAAGTCTTCTGGATATTAGTGAAGTCACAAGTCTAATAGCATTGTAAATAGACAGAGAATTAGTGTTCTTTTGTAATTGCAGGCAGTGAAAAAAGCATGTGAGCTTTGTCAACAGTTCCTCTCATAGCAACAAGAAGAGACTTCTCTTGTGCTAAGAAGTCTTCAGAGTTTTCCTGGTTTTTCCCCATGGTGCTTGATGGGATACATCGCCATCATGCCGTGCACTAAATGATGGCAACTGGCATCTTGTCCAGGAATCATAGGGCTGGAGACAGCCTTGTCAGGCATCCAAAGCACCCTCTGTTCCAATGCAGGGAGTTCAGAGCTGGAGCATCCCCAACAGATGGTCGTCTGGCCTTTGCCTGAGGAGAGCTCAGGAAGAATCTGCAACCCTATTAAGTAATTGACAAAGCTTTGAAAAATTCAATTTTTGCACAGTAGCTCTCAGCATCCCCCAGCCAGCTTGCCTGCTGTCTCTACTGGCCAGGGAATTCTGGGAGGTGTGGTCCAGAAAGGAAACCTTTGGCCTTGTTGGGTGGAGGATTCTGGGGCTTGTTTTCAGGGGAGAGAAAGAAATGTTCTCATTTTCAAGCTCTCGTATTTGGCTCCATTTTCAAATTACCATCAATAAGTTTTTTTTTCGTGTTCAGCCAGAACTTGCCTTCCTGTAACTTCTGCCTGTTAGAGTTAGTCCTGCCTTCTGGGAGACAAGAAAACATATTTGTGCACTTTTTATTTGGCAGCTCTTTGGACTTTTGAAGAGTAGTGCTTCCTCCCTCGCCCGGCCGCCACCTTCTTTTCTCCAGGCTAAGCATCCCCAGAACTCTCAGACGTTGATTTTATCCTCTTAGCCATCTTTAGTTCACATTTCTAGATCTGTCCCACTTTGTCAATAGCATTCTTAAGAAATAACTTTTCCAAGCTTTGGATTCAGACCATTGTTGCACATTTCCTATTCTGAAAGACAGCATGAGGTTTCTGGGTTCGCTTACAAGAGATGAACCAGGCAGGAGGCTGTGTTTTCAGAATACAGGAGGCCTTTATCAGAATTGAAAGCATTGATACAGTCAATTGATTAGTTAACTTAAAACATCTGGGGCCTAATTGGATTGTAGCCCTTGCCATCTACAGTAAAGGATTCATTTAGCAATCATGCCATTTATTTATCTCCCCTTGACTCAGGAGATGAATTTAGGATCATTTGTTACCCAAATCCAAGTAAAAGGCACATTTGGACTACAGCTTCCAATAGTTTTAAGCAGCTTAGCCAATGGTGAGGGACAGTGGGAGTCATAGTTCAGATACTGTAGTATTTGAATTACAGCTCCCATTGTCTGCATCCCTGATTTAACCTCGAATATAACTTGTCACTGGATTTTGTAATTTTTTCAATGTTTAATTTCTGTCTTCAATCGCATTCAGGGCACAGGGCTTGAAGGAAGAGAAAAAGAAGTTTAGAGACTTTTTTTTTGTCCACAGGAACATTCCATTTCTCAGCTGTGGAATACAAGAGAGTGAAGAAGAACAAGGAGGAGGTTAGATGAAATCATGTGTGCTGAAGGAATGGCTGTAGGCAGACACTTCCAATCTCTTTTTGCAAAAGTAGATGTCATTGCCCTTTAACACAGATTGATCGGGAGCACATGCGTTTGAGAGAGCCTTCTCAAAGATACATTCTTAAGGAACTTATCCAAAACATGC